TTGTGACTCTTCAATCTGAATTCTGATCTGACTTGGTTTGTGTGCGCGTCCAGGAGCGCGAGGAGAACGTGAAGGCGGACGTTTTCCACGCCTACCTGTCGCTGCTCAAACAGACCCGACCCGCTCAGAGCTGGTTGGCCGATCCAGACGCCATGGAGCAGGGAGACACGCCGCTCACCATGCTGCAGAGCCAGGTAATGAGTCACCAGAGAGGAAGCACAAGTCCGACAATTACTGAGAACAAAAAGGTTCAACATGATGCATCTCTAAAGATATCTGCAGGTTTTTTTTATTCTCACATGTTTAAAATGATGCATTCCTCTTGGTTATCTTGCTCCTTGTATATTATCTAAATAGTAAAATATCGACAGGTGCAGAAAAGTACGGCGCTGATTGATGCAGAAATGACACACTGGTTGCAGTTCTTCTCTCGCGCAGCAGATGTCGCTGTTGTTGCTTTGATTTGATTAAATTCTGCATCCTGCGAGCTCCACCACAGGAATCAGTGGTCGACTCGCCCTCTCTCTCTCCCTCTGACTGTGTGAATGTCTCTCGCCCGCTGCAGGTGCCCATGATAGTGAAAGCTCTGCACAAGCAGCTGAAGGAGAAAAGTGTGAAAACTCGTCAGTGTTGTTTCAACATGTTGACCGAGCTCGTGAACGTCCTGCCTGGAGCTCTGACACAGCACATCCCAGTACTGATACCAGGTAATACTCCCAGTACATCCCAGTACTGATACCAGGTAATACTCCCAGTACATCCCAGTACTGATACCAGGTAATACTCCCAGTACATCCCAGTACTGATACCAGGTAATACTCCCAGTACATCCCAGTACTGATACCAGGTAATACTCCCAGTACATCCCAGTACTGATACCAGGTAATACTCCCAGTACATCCCAGTACTGATACCAGGTAATACTCCCAGTACATCCCAGTACTGATACCAGGTAATACTCCCAGTACATCCCAGTACTGATACCAGGTAATACTCCCAGTACATCCCAGTACTGATACCAGGTAATACTCCCAGTACTGATACCAGGTAATACTCCCAGTACTGATACCAGGTAATACTCCCAGTACTGATACCAGGTAATACTCCCAGTACATCCCAGTACTGATACCAGGTAATACTCCCAGTACATCCCAGTACTGATACCAGGTAATACTCCCAGTACATCCCAGTACTGATACCAGGTAATACTCCCAGTACATCCCAGTACTGATACCAGGTAATACTCCCAGCACATCCCAGTACTGATACCAGGTAATACTCCCAGCACATCCCAGTACTGATACCAGGTAATACTCCCAGTACATCCCAGTACTGATACCAGGTAATACTCCCAGCACATCCAGTACTGATACCAGGTAATACTCCCAGCACATCCCAGTACTGATACCAGGTAATACTCCCAGCACATCCCAGTACTGATACCAGGTAATACTCCCAGTACATCCCAGTACTGATACCAGGTAATACTCCCAGTACTGATACCAGGTAATACTCCCAGTACTGATACCAGGTAATACTCCCAGCACATCCCAGTACTGATACCAGGTAATACTCCCAGTACATCCCAGTACTGATACCAGGTAGTACTCCCAGTACTGATACCAGGTAATACTCCCAGCACATCCCAGTACTGATACCAGGTAATACTCCCAGCACATCCCAGTACTGATACCAGGTAATACTCCCAGTACTGATACCAGGTAATACTCCCAGCACATCCCAGTACTGATACCAGGTAATACTCCCAGCACATCCAGTACTGATACCAGGTAATACTCCCAGTACATCCCAGTACTGATACCAGGTAATACTCCAGTACTGATACCAGGTAATACTCCCAGCACATCCCAGTACTGATACCAGGTAATACTCCCAGTACTGATACCAGGTAATACTCCCAGCACATCCCAGTACTGATACCAGGTAATACTCCCAGTACTGATACCAGGTAATACTCCCAGCACATCCCAGTACTGATACCAGGTAATACTCCCAGCACATCCCAGTACTGATACCAGGTAATACTCCCAGCACATCCCAGTACTGATACCAGGTAATACTCCCAGTACTGATACCAGGTAATACTCCCAGCACATCCCAGTACTGATACCAGGTAATACTCCCAGTACTGATACCAGGTAATACTCCCAGTACTGATACCAGGTAATACTCCCAGCACATCCCAGTACTGATACCAGGTAATACTCCCAGTACTGATACCAGGTAATACTCCCAGTACATCCCAGTACTGATACCAGGTAATACTCCCAGTACTGATACCAGGTAATACTCCCAGTACTGATACCAGGTAATACTCCCAGTACTGATACCAGGTAATACTCCCAGTACTGATACCAGGTAATACTCCCAGTACATCCCAGTACTGATACCAGGTAATACTCCCAGTACTGATACCAGGTAATACTCCCAGTACTGATACCAGGTAATACTCCCAGTACTGATACCAGGTAATACTCCCAGTACATCCCAGTACTGATACCAGGTAATACTCCAGTACATCCCAGTACTGATACCAGGTAATACTCCCAGTACTGATACCAGGTAATACTCCCAGTACTGATACCAGGTAATACTCCCAGTACATCCCAGTACTGATACCAGGTAATACTCCCAGTACTGATACCAGGTAATACTCCCAGTACTGATACCAGGTAATACTCCCAGTACATCCCAGTACTGATACCAGGTAATACTCCCAGTACTGATACCAGGTAATACTCCCAGTACTGATACCAGGTAATACTCCCAGTACATCCCAGTACTGATACCAGGTAATACTCCCAGTACTGATACCAGGTAATACTCCCAGTACTGATACCAGGTAATACTCCCAGTACATCCCAGTACTCATACTGGTTTTTCTTTCAGGTATCATCTTCTCTCTGAACGATAAGTCGAGCAGCTCAAACCTCAAAATCGACGCGTTGGCGTGCCTCCACGTCATCATGGTCACGCATCCCGCTCACGCCTTCCACGCCCACGTCCCCGCCCTCGTCCCGCCCGTGGTGGCCTGCGTGGGAGACCCCTTCTACAAGATCACTTCAGAGGCCCTGCTCGTCACTCAGCAGCTCGTCAAGGTGAGTCTCACACCTGCCGCCCACCTGATGACCTCACACCTGATGACCTCACACCTGATGACCTCACACATGATGACCTCACACATGATGACCTCACACATGATGACATGATGACCTCACACATGATGACCTGATGACCTCACACATGATGACCTCACACATGATGACCTCACACATGATGACCTGATGACCTCACACATGATGACCTCACACATGATGACCTCACACCTGATGACCTCACACATGATGACCTCACACCTGAAGACCTCACACCTGATGACCTCACACATGATGACCTCACACCTGATGACCTCACACATGATGACCTGATGACCTCACACATGATGACCTGATGACCTCACACATGATGACCTGATGACCTCACACATGATGACCTGATGACCTCACACATGATGACCTCACACATGATGACCTCACACATGATGACCTGATGACCTCACACATGATGACCTCACACATGATGACCTCACACATGATGACCTCACACATGATGACCTGATGACCTCACACATGATGACCTCACACATGATGACCTGATGACCTCACACATGATGACCTCACACCTGATGACCTCACACATGATGACCTCACACATGATGACCTGATGACCTCACACATGATGACCTCACACATGATGACCTCACACATGATGACCTCACACATGATGACCTCACATTCTGACCCTTTTTATTGTCTTTCAGGTGATCCGACCTCTGGACAACCAACCAGAGAGCTCCGACAGCTTTGACCCCTCCCCTTACATCAACGACCTGTTCACCTGCACGATCAGACGCCTGAAAGCCGCCGACATCGACCAGGAAGTGAAAGAGCGAGCCATTTCCTGCATGGGCCAGATCATCTGTAACCTAGGTAAGCACTTCCTGTCAGTCACAGTGATGTCATCACGAGCTGCTTCCTGTTCGTCTTCTTCACCATGTTTTCTGGTCATTTAGGAGACCGTCTGCCCGCCGAACTACCGGGAACGCTGCTTATCTTCTTGGAACGCCTAAAGAACGAAATCACCAGACTGACCACAGTGAAAGGTAAGCCCCGCCCCCAAAAGAACGCTGCAGGGCTGGCAGACAGGGGCTGATGTTTAAGTGTGTGTGTGTGTGTGTGTGTGTGTGTTGCAGCTCTGACGCTGATCGCTGGCTCGCCGCTGAAAATCGATCTAAGGCCGGTTCTCCCTGATGCCGTTCCCATCCTCGCATCATTTCTCCGCAAGAACCAGCGAGCTCTGAAGCTGTGCACGCTCGCCGCTCTGGACATCCTGCTCAGAAACTACAGGTAACACTCTCACTCACTGCACCTGTAAGCCTTAAGCCCCTCCCCCTCCCTCCTATCGGTCCCTCACACCGTGTTAACGTTCCAGCTCTGCGGTGACCTCCGTCATGGTGGACGCCGTGCTGGCCGAGCTCCCGCCTCTCATCTCGGAAAGCGACATGCACGTGTCTCAGATGGCGCTCAGCTTCCTGTCCACGCTGGCGGTCACTCACCCTTCCTCGCTGGGTCAGCTGAGCGGAGGCAACATCCTGCAGCAGCTCATCATGCTGGTTCGATCCCCGCTGCTGCAGGGCGGAGCGCTCGCCGCCATGCTGGACTTCTACCAGGTAGATGAGCGACACACAGCCGCCATCAGGCGATGATGTCATCACCCCGAGAGCATCAATAACTGTGTGTCTGTGTGTGTGCTCAGGCCCTGGTTGCCACGGAGACCCCTGGTCTAGGTTACATGGACCTCCTGAGGATGCTGACCGGTCCCGTTTACTCCCAGAGCGCCGCTCTGCCTCACAAACAGGCGTACTGCTCCATCGCCAAGTGTGTCGCCGCTCTAACCCGGGCGTGTCCCAACGAGGGGCCGGCCGTGGTCGGACAGTTCATCCAGGTGAGACCACCTGAGATTTGTATAATTCAGACAGCGTGCAGGAATCGGGTGTGTAGGACTTGTATTTGTGTTGCCATGGTAACGGTCCAGGTATCGCTCTGGTCTTGTGACGACCATGATGCCCGTGTGTCTGTCTCTGGAGCTGCTTTCAATAAAGTTGTTTTTGGCTCCTCCTTCCAGGACGTGAAGAACAGTCGCTCCACAGACTCCATCCGGCTGCTTGCTCTGCTCTCATTGGGCGAGGTCGGACATCACGTGGACCTGAGCAGCCAACCAGAGCTGAAGACGGTGATCCTGGACGCTTTCTCCTCCTCCAGTGAAGAGGTAACATCACGCTGCTTCATCTCATGAGCTTCCTGTGTCCACCTGCTCGCTAATAAAGCGGCTGTTGTCATGGAGACCAACATGCACGTGCACGCGCTCAATCCCTCCAAATAAACGCCAGGTGGACCGAGGCTCCAACACTAACTGTTTACACAAATATTTATAACATTTAAAAACTTACCTCTCTCTGTCTCTCTCTCTCTCTGTCTCTCTCTCTCTCCTCTCTCTGTCTCTCTCTCTCTCTCTGTCTCTCTCTCTCTCTGTCTCTCTCTCTCTCTCTCTCTGTCTCTCTCTCTCTCTCTGTCTCTCTCTCTCTCTGTCTCTCTCTCTGTCTCTCTCTCTCTCTGTCTCTCTCTCTCTCTGTCTATCTCTCTCTCTCTCTCTCTCTCTGTCTCTCTCTCTCTCTCTCTCTCTCTGTCTCTCTCTCTCTGTCTCTCTCTCTCTCTGTCTCTCTCTGTCTCTCTCTCTCTCTCTCTCTCTCTGTCTCTCTCTCTGTCTCTCTCTCTCTCTGTCTCTCTCTCTCTCTGTCTATCTCTCTCTCTCTCTCTCTCTCTCTCTCTCTCTCTCTCTCTC